AGCCAGATGTTTAGATTGGATTTGGCATTTTTATCCACCTATTGAGTCCTTCCCAAGGACCCGGGATAGGCAGATGTAGTTGTTTGATGGTGTTAAGGGAATTGTCGCAGGATGTAAGCTGTTCCAAGGAAAGCTGTCTTTTGCAACTGACTGATGGTGATTTTGTCAATGCTGATGGTCTTCAAGTGGTGTTCCAGATGTTTAGGATTGCACCCAAGGCGCCTATTACTATTAAGTTTTTGAAAAAAAACAAACGTGTGTATCTCCTTTTGTTATCAAGTGGGACATCTGAAAAGAAGAAAAATAGCTAGCAAGGTAGGAAAAACCTGCAAAACATGGATTTTAGAATACTTTCAATCCCTTCATTGAACATTCCTAAGTACAGTAACATTTTGTCTGGAAAAAAAAAGCATATTGTGATTGGCCTATGGGGCCTGACGTTTGGTACACCCTGCGTATATCCTATTCTGAATGCCTTCATTGGTTAATTTTTGTTCAAATTCTCAGCATTTCCCATTATATCAAAGCCTCATGTGGGGAAGGTTGCCTTTCCCTCATCAAATAGGAGTGTTGTATGGAAGTAGCTGTGTATGAATTAGGTTTAAGTGCTGGCACTGCTGATGGAAATCTTTTTGTTTTTCTGCCTCTGAGAACTATCAGATTAGTGGACCAAGACAATAAGGCATCTTAAGTGGTCGCAGTACATTTGGGGAACTCTTTGTCATTGAGATGTGACAGGCTGGTCTTGCCAGCCATTCAGAAAAGCCCTGGAGATGCATTTGTTCTCACTAGCTTTCTGTTAAGGTTCTTGCGGGTACTCCTTGATGAAAACTGTTTTTGCGTTACTGTCTTGGGTTGCTTGTGATATTCAGTGTATACATTACCCTCCTACTCAAGTGAGTAGTCAAGATCGCTAAGTCCTATTACTGGTAATAATCCACTGCTTATGATAAATTATAAGATAAGGCTTCAAATTTAGTGAATGTTTAGTTCTATTCATCTAGGGATTCATTGAAATATACAGTTTGACTGGGGCAGTGGACAGCGGTTAACTTTTGCATGCAACTGCCCATACAATGAAATCATGATTGCAAGAAAAGAGATGTGACTTTATCTAACTAGATATTTCTTTTCTTCTTCTATCTCATAGGACAGAGCAAAACATTCAAAAGAGATGTTTTGTAAAGAGATTAGTGCAAATAAAGCACTCATCTCTGAAGTGTTTGGAAGGAAACAGAAGAAGACAACCAGCAGCAAGGTGGACAGACTCAGTGACAGTGGTGATGACTGCACTGTTGGGAGACCTGAAAGAAGAGGTTAGGGATAGATTGTCATGGAGAATCTATCTACGTGGTTGTTAGGAGTCGAAAATGACTTGATGGACATAATCAATCAATGTCTGTAGCGATAAAGTAGTCCTGCTTTTTGTCCAGGACTATTTCTGAAGGAGGTGCTGCAAAAGTGTTGCACTTCCTAGTGGAAGTGTTGCATGTATGTGCACACACCAATAAAGACAAATGTTGACTCTTGAAACCAACTTGGCTGCTTTCATACATCAAAAAGAAGTGCCTGGTTCACACTAAGACTCCTTGTGATCCACCTCTTTCAGAGGCAGAGCACAGCATTGTTCTCATGCAATAATTATTCATTGGAGCCAGCAATTCCACTAAATAAGTGATGAATGTAAGAGACATTGTATTTTCTTTGGGGAGGCCACATTCACACCATCACTGTAAATTAAAACAATACAATCTTTATTTTTATCTTTAAAGTAAATATATAAACAACATTATTTACCTGATCTGACAGGGTATCGGCCTGTCAAGAAAGCTGCTCTGCTGGGTGTACATAATGGAGAAGCTGCTATATGTTGAGTCAGTTTTACACCCCCTTTGGCTAACTTGTCAATATTGGGAGTTCTGGAAGGGAAAAAAGTCTGTATTGACAGTACATAAAGGCTACTTAAAGAACATCAGGAGATTCACCTTGTTTTTTCCTCTAACTCTGCTGTTACCCTATCAAATACAAACTGAAGAGAGAAATACATATATGAAGAGAGCTTAATAGAGCATGCACAAAGTATTTTCTCTTACATTATTTATGGGAATGACATCACACATCAAAGCAGTTTATCTGAAAATGGTCAAGCACATCGATAACAAATGGATCATATTTCCAGCCTTATTCATGAAGACATTCTCTTTTAATATGTAAGCAAAATGAAGTGGGGATGAAAAGGCATGAAAATGCGACAGCAATGTATAGCAAAGTTAAATGAATAAAAGTTTAAAAAAAAAAAAAAACTAGTAACACTCTAGTTATTCTAACATGCATGCCCATATATGATTTTTTTAAATAAGAGTAAAAAGTCAGTCCTTTCTGGACCAGAGCCATTTTATCTTTTCTAGTCTTACATTCTTTAGTCTTTCGTTCCTTTATAGACAAACCTTTATGCAACAAGAAAAAAACAATTTCTCAACTGAACCAAATGCTAAAAAAAAGATTGCAAAGCAAAAAATGACAATGTAACAATGCAAAATTAGTTCTAACCAGTCATAGAGCCCCAAAGGTAATTATATTACATTGTAGCACTAATTTTTCATAAATTAATGTTTAAACAAATTATTCAAAAGCAAACATATATAGGCTGGAATGTTGTATCAGAATTAGGTATTACCTGATTCTGATATAAAATACATAGGCTGACATAGGTTGCCTACGAGGTTTTTAAACTTTGCCTATCATGGAAACCTTAGAGATATTTTAATTAGCAAATTAAAACCCTGTAGATTTATCTTGAAGTCCAACAGGTTAATGTACGTGCTTGTAGGTGTGTGTCTGCAGTATAAGCACCAAGTATTAAAGTAATAGATATTTTTAAACAACTGCTGGTCATATACTCATGTAGCAAATTTCAGCTGCACTATCTTCATCTATGATTAAATTTGGGGGAGTGGGTAGGATTATATTACATACAAATACTGGGGAAAATAGGGTATAAACAAATAAAAGAATATATACTTGGTATTTACATGATTATAATTAGTGCCAGGAAGAGAATCAGGTAGCATATATAATAATAATAATAATAATAATAACAACAACAACAACAGCTGCTGCTGCTGCTTCCTGACTTTCTTCCTGGCACTAATTATTATTATATTATTATATATTATAATATATATTATTATATATTACTGTTATTATTATTATTAAAATCCAGATTAGATTATGTGGAACTGCCTCTGAAAACTGGAAAAGCACAATATGCAAAATACAGTTGAAAGACTCTATTGTTGGGACTGAATCTGTGAAACATTTTGCCTGTGACCTTGTTTTTAATGAATTAAGTTTCAAGTCATCCTTGTAAATACAGTGATCTCCAGTTGGGCTGGACTGCAATTCTCATAATTCTCAACCAATATGATGAAAATGAAATTATGAGAGTCAAAATCCAACACCATCTGAGAACACTGTATTTGAAAAGAGTTCCGAATCACAGATCCTAATTCAGACAGCATTCATGTAGAAGATGTTAATATATATAGTGCCAAATATGACTATTAACTTTTGATTTCTACATAAGAAGCCAGCTTTTGGTTTCTAAATTTATAAAAATAGCTATTTCTATTTTTCTTCTTAATCAACCGCCAAAGCATATGTGTTATTCAGTGCGTACCTAGTACTTCTATACAGCCAAAAAAGATGGCTTAAAATGCAGTGCATAAGTCTCGCTAAGAAATATGCATGTCCCATATTTCAAAAGTTGTTTTTAAAGTCTGGTTATCTCCACTCCTGGAGAATTAGACCTTCTAAATAGTTAGCCAGATCTTTGTTATCTCACCATAATATGGTTTACTTAACAGTTTCACTTCAAGCAATTTTGAAGTTATAGCCATGTTTGTCTTCAACTAACACTGTACTAACTGTGTCCTAAGTTTTTGTTTTTGTAGTTATGTGAAGCTCATTTTTTAGGCATAAGGAACTCACTTATAAATTGATCTGGTACAATCCATTCTAAAAGTTGGTTTTGCTGAATTTATTATAAATAAAATCCCTGTTGCTTGAAAATGTCACCATAAGCCACACTGAAAAGATCATCTCTCTCTCTCTGTGTCTCTGGCAAGGATCTTAGAAATATTATAATGAATTGAACAGATTACTTTTTCCATTTCTACCACTATGAATTTATTTATAATATATTTAATATATTTCTAATAAATTTAATATATTGCACAAGCCAAATTTGAATAAATTTAGTTTGTGTGTGTGTGAGAGAGAGAGAGAGAGAGAGATTGAGATTGAGAAAGAGAGATGGAAATAGATCCTCTGGCAAGGATCTCAGAATTGTGGGATTGAGAATGTGTTAACTGGTAAGCCCAACTTCTGTCAATGGGCTTGGTGGATTTACCTGTCCACTGCGTCAATGCATCAAGTTGGGCTGGCCAGCAAGAATCTAGCCAAACTGTTAATACTACACAGCAGTTCAGAGTTAGGTCATGTAAGGGTAGTGCATATATCCATTTTGGTTTAAAACTGACTTTTTTTTAGTTGTTTCCTCCTCACTTTGAGATTTTTAAAAAAGTTTCCATAAATTTCCACGTGAATGTTTCTAATATACAAATTTGGGTATGTAGTTTTGTATAGGATGATTTTTTTTAAGTATGATTTTTCTTAAGTATAAATATATTGTTTACTTTCAGGAAAATGTGTTTTCTGATGTTCCTTGACATTTTTACAAATTTTAACTAAATGCAGCGCATGTTTTGAAGACGAATTATGTTTTAATGTCCATATTTATTCAGGGTTGGGATTTTAGGTAAATGCGACATGTGAATATGTAGGTTCCTTCTGTATTTCTAGGTTATAAGCCTTTGGGAAAATTAGAATTATTACATCAAGCAGCTGTCGGTGTTTGAAATGCATGGTGGGGTGTGTGTGTATTGGTTACTAATTCTCATTCTGATGTTTTTTTTAAATTTGCTTTTGTTTCTTATTGTATATAATAACGTATGTCTATGTGTGTGCTCATGTGCATATATGTATGCATGTATGTATGTATGTCTATGTATCTATCTATATATCTAATATTAAAATTAAATAGGAAAGGCAACATCAACTACACTTTGGTTATGCTACTGTGATTTTGACTTTGCACAGTTTTAAGCAGAGCAATTTCATTATGCAGTAGAGATATTTGTGGGCATGTGTGTACATCAAACAAAATAACCAGAGTGTTATAGATGATCGATTGAAAGAAATAACACAAATAAATCACCAAGAATGATAGAAAACCTTAGAGTTGTATTTCCATAGCATCCCAAGTCTCCAATGCCAAGGTCATCAACCATGAACAAGATGATGTTGGGCTTCAAAAGTCTTTCATCTATAGCATTGCTGGTTGGCCACAGATAAAGCATCAAATGGAAAAGGATCATCGTTCTTCTGTTTTAAGGTGGAATTACTTCAATGACACCTGTTTCATAAAGGAATGTTACTTTGTTGATGGGTATAATAATTTGACTTAGAAGATTGAGTGAAAACAAAGCCAAAAGGAAACTGATCTTTGTGGATTTAGCATGTTATGTATAGAGAGAAAACTAAATGCTAAAAAATAATAAAAGCACACTTTTCATATAATTGTCTACATTCAGAGATGATATACCACAATGTCTTTTTCAGATAAAGCACAGATACAAAGAATCAAGTGAATTGCAGTCTAAAATAAATCTGCATTAAGATACATGCCATCTGGTGTGAATATTTTCATCTGGTGAAGGTATTGAGAGATGAAGGTAGGAAGTTGATATTTATAAATAATAATTTATTGCCTAGCTGTGTAGACTGAGAACAGATGAACCTTATTCCAGAATTTTCCCTATATATAAAGCACTATCAACTGGAAACCTAGAGACTATATGTGATGACATTTCAGTGTTTCAGTTTTAATACACAGCAAATTTAGGCTTGTTTAAACTCTTAATGACTGCTCTGCCAAACATTATGAAGCTATTTCATTTTCTGCAATCCACTCTAAAGTTTTGGAAGAGGGAATTATTTTACCCTGCTCTTTGTTCAAAGTGTGTTGAGTACAGCCAAGCCATTCCATTCATTGCGGTGTGGAATAACCCTTATAATAGTGTGATGCTGTGACTGATATAGCCATATCATAAGAAAAAAGCATCATGAATATGCTGCAAAATACAGACCCTCTTCCACAAGGCCAATCTTCTGTAGGACAAGTTGACCTGGGATACTCCATAATGATGCCACAGAACATAAAATGAAACAGTATTTTGAAAGGTGCTTTTATTGTCTGCAGGTATTTACAAACATGAATTTGGATCCTCAATTTTTCCTATATCCTCTTCAGGGAGATTTTCAGCACCTATATGGGTGGTACTGTGTTGGACTCTAAACATCACATATTCAAGGAGGTGCAAAACAGCTATATGAGGAAGAAAAATTAAAAGCTGTATGTATCACAAGAAAACTAAATTAATAAAAATAGTATAAAATGGATGAGCATGTACATTGTTTTGTAAAAAAGAATTATGAAATGTTACTGTATATCATAAACATATATTATGAAATTGCAAAAGAATTTATTGTAATAGCCTCTCTTCTAATCTGTTTATGTATGTAGCATGAACTTTTTCTGGTTCAGTATCATATGGGTCAAAGGACTGTCTAAATGATCCATATACAACTTCATCTTTCGAACATACTTCCAAGTAAATGCCTGTTTATGCCAAATAAATTCCTGTTTCAGTGCTAACAATATTGACTGTTTGGGGCATCACCATGACATTCTGAGCCTCCATGACACAGAAAGTAATTGGATGAACCACCTAATATGCAATGTGATGGTGGCAAATAGCAATCAGTATGTTCAATACTTCTAAACTAGAAAACCTGTGGCACTAAGGCCTTAGCCAGCCCTCAGCCTAGGACTTAATTTCAAAAGCTTTCTGCAGGTGATTAATTCAGACATCTGGCATGCAATTTCAGCTCTTTCCCTGGTAATGTGCTGCTTGAGAAAGAGGAAGGAAATAAAAATAGAAAGACAAAAAAGCTATAATGTTCCCCCCCCCCCCGATATGTCCTTATTTGAGCCAATGAAACTGGATGAGGAAAGTGCAAAAACCTCTAGACCACCTTCATCTGCATAACCTTACAGATCTTCCTACAAATATGCAATAACACCATTAGGTAGAGATGCAAGACTTTTAGCAACAGTGTGGTCAGGAAGGATGTCCTGCTTGGGACTGTGTTCCTCTCAATTACCCTGCTTTGGACTAACCAAGGCCAAATGTTTCAGACAGGAGACATAGTACCTTCATAAAGAAAAGCCTTTATGTAGCATTGTAAAGAATTGAAGACTGCATCTGAAAGTGCCCTGACCTCAGTTTTTGTTTTTTAATCCTGAACATGCTTTATGATAACTACCTGAACTTGAACTACTGAACTTCACTTCCCTAATTTTAGACCTCAGACCCTGTTTGATGATGCTCTTGACTTGATGCATAGATCATGAATTTGATTTCTTCGGAGCCAGTTTCTTAGATTATTGTAGATTGTCATTTTGACAGAGAAACACTGTAAACCAACTGGGGTTTATTAGAAAAAGAAGAGAAACAAAGATTACAGATTGTCAAGATGAGATAATGGGTGATGAATTTGGTATTGGCTACACTTGCCTTATGCAACCTTCAGTGATCTATCCCTACAATTTGTGTCCCTGAACAGAGAGAAGAAAATTACCATGGAAGATTATTACTTTGAGGAAGTTACTGGTTAATACTGGGACTTTTCAGTTCAGATAATTTTTAAAGACAAGGGGAGACAAAATACAGCCTTAATTTACCCCTTTCTGTATTGTTATTTAGGCTGAAATATGATTGTAACTGCTTAAACTAATCTGCATTGAGATATTGTCATGCTGCTTATTAATGAAAAGTAACAATTTCAGATCCACAGAGTTGCCCAGTTTACACCAGAGAGTATTCCTAGATATGAAGTTAAATGTTCATTTCAAATTAGTAAAAACATCATATTACACTCAAGAAAGAACAATTGGCTGGATTAGACCTAATCCATTTCTTATATAGTGAAGCTGTTGTAGATTGCTCCAGTTCTTGAAGATTTCTGAGGTATTATTCATATGGCTGAATATGGTTGCCAGAATTAGGATGCATAAATACATATTCCTTTTTATTGGGATTAGTTCACAACCAGGAATTTTCCCATTTTTAAGTTGTCTAATCAGATTAGAGATTTCAGAAGGAGTATAGAGAGCCCACCAGAAGTATTGTTTGTCTATAGCCCTGGAAGCTGAATATTTAGGGGGGAGCCTAGAGAGAACCATTATGTCAACATAAATCAGGTCCTTCTAAAACATTCAGGATAATGTCCAAATATCTGTTGATCTGTAAAACTGTGAGGGAAAAAAAAAATCCTATAATTTAAACCATTGAGTGGCCTTATGTGTGTGTGTGTGTGTGCGCACACACACACACACACACACAGACACATACTTGAGAAAGAAAGAGGAAGTATAATAATAAAATAATAAATATTATAATATTTATTATTAAAATAATAATATAATATATATGATTAATAGAATAATATAAAATAATAAAAAAGGCATATAATAATGTAAGGGCTTTCATTTCTGTTTGTACATGGTTTCATTCGTGTTTGAAATAAAGAGACTAATATTGCCAAGTTGTGTCTGTGAAACTTCTGACAAGTAAAACAAGCCCTAAGTAAGGGATTAAAAACCAGGATTTGCAGCTTGCCTGGTATGAAATTCCATCTGTTGGCTATTATTTTGTCATCAAGCCTAAATGTGCAAAGAGCCCTAAATAATCTTATAGAACTGTTCAATCCTTGATGCTCTCTGAGCTTGGTTGTTTGCTTGCAGATGTTTCATTACCAGACTAGGTAACATCATCAGTGCTATTGAGTGTGGGGTTTGCTCCCTGTTTATATATAGTAGTTTACCCTGCCAGTATTGGTCGGGCTGTGGTTTTCTCCTTGGTAGTTCCTGGAGGATACTGATTAGGGTATTGTTTTCTGCTTGATTGTCTGTCTGGTGTTAATCTCTGCTTATCTGGGTGTGGGCTGCTGGTGAGGATGTGTTATGATCTTTTTGTTTCCTTCCTAGCTTTTTTAATTGTCCCTTTTGAATAGTGTGTAAATGTAGTTTATCTATATGTGTCTATAAATCAAGCAGAAAACAGCACCCTGATCAAGGAACTACCAAAGAGAAAACCACACCCCTACCAACACTGGCAGGACAAGCTACTGTATATAAACAGGAAGCAAACCCCACACTCACTTGCACTATGATGTTACCTAGTTGGGTAATGAAATGTCTGCAAGTGAAAAACCAAGCTCAGAGAGCACCAAGGACTCCACAGTCCAACACTGAGCTATAGATATTCTCTTCTATTGGAACCTTATAGAAGGTAGCAGAATTCCATCCTTGCTCTTTTTTTTTTTTTCCTGTAAGTGATCTTAAAGGGGGGAAAAAAAACAACCCAAGAAAAATGGTCATCATTATCACAGCCTCAAGGAGAAGAGTCTGACCATCTAATTAAAAAATAATAGAAATTTTGCCTCTAATCTAAGCAAAGGGAAGGAAAGAAGCAAGAAAAACATATTAATAGTTAATTTCTAAGCTAATGAATGCAACCTACTGTGTTTTCAACTCATGTGGTTTTAGGGATGCTGGAAAATTTTGTTGGGCATATTTTTTAAGAAACCTGACCTTATTTGCACTTCTTGGACTGACTTACCAATCCTTTAGAACCCATTAGACTACACAGATCTCAAAGTTACACAGTGGATTCAGGGGCTCAAAAGTTGCATTCAAAATGTTTATCTCTGGGAAAGAAAGTGGGAAAATGCATGAATTTGGAAGAGTTGAATGTAAAAATGTATATTTTTAGGGAAAACTCCATTCCTAAGGGAAAAGTGAATGTTTATCATACTAAAAACCATAGAGAGTCAGTCTGGCGTAGTGGTTAAGGCACCAGACTAGAATCTGGAAGACTGTGCATTCTAGTCGTGCCTTAGGCACAAAGCTAGCTGGATAATTCTGGGACAGTCCCTCTTCCTCAGCCCTAGGAAGGAGGCAAGGGCAAACCACTTCTGAAAAATCTTGCCAAGGAAACTGCAGGGACTAGTCCAGGCAGTCCCCGAGAGTCAACACTGATTCAATGGCACAAAAACAAACAAACATGCAAAAACCATAAATATGGCTATCTAGAATTGTGAAATGAAGCTAATTACCCATGCACAGCATACTTCCACAAAGCGCTCACAGCTGCATGTATACTGATATAGAAGAAAAGATTAAATCATGTATTTGTTTATATTTCAGTAGTTTCTGGGACCAGTTCACAGTGCTGGTATTAATCTTCTAAAACTAATATATTTGGGGGGTCATTAAGGATGTATTTGATC